AAAGTCTTTCTTCGCTACCCTATTGTGTATCCCCAACCCCGTCCCTCGTTACTATGGATTATGGAGGGGGCTGCGCCCAGTAGCCGGAGAGGGACAATGGCAGAGCAGGGAGCATGGCTGAAAATGAGGTGCATGTGTGCAAGTTTAGTCAGTGTTGCTGTGTGTGCGAACTCGCTTGCTGGATTCCGTGCCGACCGGTTGTGCCCTCGCGATCTCCGGCGTCAGCGTAGCTCTGGCAGACTGGGCTCGCCCTACGTCACCTCCTGACGCCGACGACCTTCGACGACAGTGTTGCTCTGACTGACTGGACTTGCTCTACGCCATCTACTGACGCCGACAAGAGCTCTCGCAAGTGGTGCCCCGTGCTCGGACTCCTGTGACCGTGTTTCCATCTTTCCTATCTCTCCTATCCCCTCAGTTTGTTGTCGCTCCTTCTGGCTTACCACCTCACGTCTCTTCCCCTTTTCTACACCTTTACTCCTACCCCTTTTGTCCTCCTCACCCCCATCCCTTGTGAGCTACTGTTGAGGTGTCGCTCACTGAAGCAGACAGTTACGGAGCTCACTTTTCTCTTCCTTTCTCTCTTAAGAATCATCCTCGCTGTGTGTGCCCCCAATGTGGCTACGGAATTGGTCGACGAAAGACCGTGAGCCCAACAAGACGAGGGTGGGGCCTTCGAGAGACCACCGGGGGACTGCTTTGTGTCTTTGCGGTGTACAGAGGCCGACGACAAGCGAAAAAAAAAAAGACACTCTTAAAGACAGCCCGCAGACCGAAATCGGCGTCGTGTCTCTCTAGTGTAAACGCGCCTTTAGCTGTTGCCTTCCTAGTGTTTGCTGTAGCCCGGCCTATTGTTAGCTGCGCCTCAATATCCCATCCAGTCCTTCCCGCTTTTGCCATGGGGACGACCCGACATGACCACGGCCCGTCGCACTAAATTCAATGCAACAACTGCGCCAATATGGCCAATCAGGTTTACAACTAACCAGTTTTATATCAAACGAAAGGTAATGTTCCCGAAGCTACAAGCTTCCTCGTTGAATAAAGGGTAGTTCCACGACCTCTTGGCTGTCTAGGCTCTACCTATGGGATTTGGAAGACGCATAGTAGAAGGCCGGGAATTGAAACGTACGTAACAACAGCTAAACCAGTGATGGTGTCATACCCACGGCGTAAAGGCACTTACTAGGGAAGGGCTTCACACAGCTGCCAGACGCGCCCGATCGACAGGCGTGCAATAGGCGTCCGCTGGCAATGCGAAGGGTCGGTTTTTGAGCATCCAATTTTTTATAACACCCAGCTATTCGCGCATGCATTCCTGCACCTGTGACCGTTTTTCCTTCGTGCGCCGTTATCGCGATTCACCATTGCTTCGCCAAGATCGATACAACCGTGACTCCCGTTGCCCGTATACACTTCCATTAGAACTGATATATGAACGCCTTCGTTCTTGCGTCTGCATAAAACTGCGCATTCATCGAATTTTCGTCTGTGTGAACAATCGCAAAAATGCAGCGAAATTCTCGGAACCCTCTCCACAATAAAATGGTGGTTTTGGGACGTTAAAACCCCACATATTTATCGAAAATGCTGTGAACGATTGGGCGGTGATCTCAGGCGCGTGCGCAGATGGGGCATGGGAGGAGGGTCTAGAAGAATATGTCGCCGGTACTGTCAGCGAGATTCCTTCGAACGAAATTTCGACGTCACGACCCCCGTTCTGAGGCTTCCGAGCGTGGCCTGGACGCCGGCTGGTTTCTTTCGAGCCCGCCTGCCGTTCTTTGTCGTTGAGACCCATTTTCGTGTAGTTTTCCGTTTGGCGGAGAGATACGTCAATCAGCGACGGGGGAGCTACACCGGTGCGCTGCGTCTTCTGCTGCGGGACATATCGAGCTACTTGCTTCTGTCTGCACACTAAACAGAGTGCACCAATCATCAAAATTGAAGTGTGAAATGCGTGAGAATGGAAAGCTGGGTAAATTTTATTCGCTACCGTACGTTATTCGCGGCCAGTGTAGCCATACTGATGTTCAGGAAGTTTCGGCGAAGCATCGTGACGAATGCTTCAGCCGTCTTAACCTCGTGAATGTTGTAGGCCCGTGTACTCAGATTTGGGTGCACGTTAAAGAACCCCAGGTGGTCTAAATTTCCGGAGCCCTCCACTACGGCGTCTCTCATAATCATATGGTGGTTTTGGGACATTAATCCCCACAAATCAATCAATCGTGTGCAAAGGCCATGTGGTAAGAGCCTGATGATGCTTTGCTGGCCAATGGAAACTCAGTTGAGCTCACATTCTGTCAGCTGTGTATAAAAAGGCGGAAAGATATTCAATCAGACGTGACAGAAAAATAAGCGCAACAACTCGGCGATCGAATGCGTTCGGTTTTGGCTGCACTGGGCTGTCAAGAACGTCGGCAAAAAGCACGAAACAGCAAAGCAGGGACGTAGGGAGAAATTGTTTTCCGGGGGGGGGGGGGGGGGGGGGTGTAGAAAGCAACGCAGTAGAGAGACTGGTCTTGCTGTTCCGACATGAGAGTGGCCGCCGGCAACGTGCGAAAGGGCGTTCCGAAGGACCCAATTATAGTGAACTAGAATAGTCTATAGTTCACATATAGACCAAATAAAGTATATCCATCCATCCAGGCGCTTTCAGTGCCAAAGTTTCTAATGATAAAATTAAAAGCTATAAACTGACTCGACGTTTCGGGACCGATTCACTCTCTTCAGGGATGACTGTTCGGCCGGCTGAGCAGATAACGAATTGGTGGTGCCCCCCCTCTTCCCTCTCCATCGTCCTTCGTTTGAATTTCACAATTCGTATCATAAACTTAATTTGTCGAATCCAGACGATTCAAGTCCGGCGTTTTTTTTTTATCAATTTCTGTCGAATATGTTCACCTTCAAACTGTAACGTTGGCTTTTGTAGACGCCGTCATGCCTGTGACGTCACAGCCAGCTGGTGCGGAAACTTTCAAGGAAGCCAAAAAAACATTGCGGGAGCTTCCACTGGTGGTCAAACTTTAATAAATTTTCACCACCAGTGGAAGCTCCCGCCGTGCCTTGCCAGCAGAGGTGAGGCGAGCTTTTGCCGTTCAAAGATCTCAAAAACATGCTCTTCTCTGAGAGAGATCAAATGGTTTTGATCTGTTTGTGTAGATGCTAAGTTAATTTTAAAAATATTTCCCGATGAAATAACAGATACGAGTATTGGTGACTTAAAATAAAATATGCCGAAAATTCAAGGCATACTAATGAAAACTAGTAACACAAAAAACATCTCGAGCAATATCTGACCGAAAAAGTTACGACATTAACCTCGTCGGGCGTGTGAGGAAAACGCCGTTTCCTCCGCCGACGGATTACCGAGAGTGTATCATGTCCCCATAAGAATTTGGCAGGCGCAGCTGCATACCACCAGGCAACAATGCCCACTCCAGCAATTTTGACAAGTATTTTAACCTTCTTGGCAACTTCAAGGCAAAGTCGCCACTAGTATGTTATAGTCAACCACCTTGGTTATAGTTTACTATAGCCGCCACCTTGATTTCATTCAGGAGTGGCGTTTTCCATGTAGCAAGGTGCTTTCGGTATTGTGAAACCGTAATTTGCAAATACAAAAACTTCTTTTTTGTTTAAGGGCAGCCCTTGCAAAAAATAGACAAAAATAACAAATAAAGATACAAACTTTGATATCTATTTAATAAAAAGCTGAATTAAACCAGTATGATGTCAGCAACGACCTGCTCGTCGAAACCGAAAGTCAATGCCGAAAGTGCTGAGCCTTCCTAGCCACCTTGGTTATTCTGTGGCCACCTGGTGGCGAAATTCCGCATGCTTGTGGGTCAAGTGAGAAAGAGAACATGACGCACGTAGTCCCCATCGCCCTTTATTCTATGATACGCACGTAAACGTCACGGGCAATGAATCACGGGGAAAACGTTACTTGGGTTCAGGTGACGTAAGTTGGTGGCACTGGCCAAACAAGCAAGAGGGTTTCTATGCAGTGCTAGTTTCGACAGAACGACAAGGCAACGAAAGCGACTCGTACGGCGATTTGACAGCTTCTGATGGGCGTCATTTCTTTTGCAGTTCTCGTTGTCGCCGTCTACTCGGTCCACGAGCCATCCAAGCTGGTGGTTCCCAAGCTTCAAGAAATGTGCACCACGCTAATTGAACAGTGTTATTAAACTACTTTCACTCTCTCGCCGAAGAGAAAGAAAAAATGTGAAGAAACAGTCTTTTGAGCCATGCAGTGGTCACGACTTTGACAACGTAAACAGGCGCACCAGTGACGCGCCGTTGTTTATTCCACTTGCAGTTCAAAATTCATTATATTTGCTGTAGAAAGAAAAAAAAAAGTGCTCAGCATTTTGACAAAACCGTTGCCCTCACACATTTCCAACATAATCCGACTAAGTGTCTTCAGTAGCCCCTGTAGCAGTGAGGGAACGGGATTACTGCCTTAAAAAGGCCGCCACTTTCAGGAGTTGTTATACGCTTTGGTCACACAGCATGATACGAGCACTACAGTGTACTTGTACGAGCACGGTTGAACTTGGTACGACCAACCTATGATCACACCAACTTCGCTGGTTGCCAGAAATGTCATACTTATTTCAGCGATGCATGCTCGCAGCCTACCACACCGAAGTAAAATGATACGCGGTAATATCAAACCCACTGTCATACGAGATAAAAAAAAAAAGAAACAAAGATGAAAGATTGCACCGAGGCCAGTGTCCACAGCCTACACGATAGAGAGAGAGAACGCCCCAGAGAGAAGAGGCTGCAAAGCTTGTTCACACAAAACGGAAGCGCCTCCGACTATAAAAAAATAGTCTCACATAGTACAATAAATTGCTTTGTAATTTGCAACTTCTAAAAAAATAACCATATCTTCAAGAAAAAAATGCAAAAATAATTATATTGAGTTACAACAATTTGTATTTTTGCAAGCTTTAATATGATAAACCTTCATCGGCACGATAACGCGGAAGGATACTAGGTGTGAAACTGCGGCCGGTTTTTCCTTTCGTGTCGTACTATTGCATGCGATCATGTCCTATTCCCACGATGAAAGGTGAGCTCCGTCTTCAAGTATATTTTGTCGCCCCGAGTTTTCTAAAAATGGCCATAATGGGTTTTTAAGTTGTTCAATATTGCCATGAGGTTGTTTTTGGCATGATTAGCTTGCGATTATTTGAGGAATACCCTGAAATTGTTGGGCCCGTCTTGTGGTACGGCCATCATGGCGAATTGGTTTTTGCACTACGCTTAACACGTGCCCGGCTACGCGGTACGATTGGGCGAATTTTACGCGCCAGAAACTAATTTATGTCCTTGTACAACAGTCCGCTGTCTTTTCAGCATTTGAAATTTGTTTCTCTTTGCCTGTCGAGTAGAGCTATGTACCGAACCCTCGATTTACCCGCCTGCGATGGACCGGACGTTTGAATGGGTGCGACGGAAACAGCTTGCTGATGTGGATGCGGTAATTTGGCAACAATGTCAAAGCTAGAACACATTTGTGACGTTAACTACGGTTGGGAGCGCGTCCCGACATTGATTTTGTTGTCTACTTGCAACTACGTCGCGTTGCCGGTTCAACTGCGCCGGAGTCTGGCGTTAGGCCTACTTTAGGCCTTGCGGCGTGTCATCGCTATTTCTCGAGCGAATGCCACCGCAGACCTTGCCCCCGCCTGTTCGTTTCAGCAACAGTCATTGCAGGTTGTGCCGCTTACTTTACCGATTAGAGCTAGTGAAGAATGTTTGTTGTTTGTCAATGTGTAAAATGACGGTAAAAAGCTTCCAATAAACGCTTAGCTTTGTACAAAATGTCAAGATTGGCTATATTGTCAGGCGGTATCAGTGTCAAGTCTATTTCAATTCTTGTTTGCCCTTGCAGGGGCGATTCCGAGCTTACAACGCACGACTGTCAAAAGAGCCGTCGTAGTGCGCATACGTGCTTGAATCGATTCATCTCTAAGGATTTATTTGCGACAGCTGTAGCATATCGGATTCGCGGTGCCGTTTGATACTCTGTATCGGTCATCGTGCATTAACACCGGCTTGATTACTAAAGTGATCGAAGTTATCTGTTTAGTTAGACGTACGCATATTCTTACGCCTGTCAGTGCGACGCAACCGTAGGCTATTCTCGACGTGTTCTTAATGCATACCTATGCTGCTTCGTCGTGATATGTGACCTGTAAAAAACACCAATTCCTTACCGTGAGCTTGCGCTCATGAATCGTCCAGAGGTCAAACAGCATGGCCCACCAAGTTTGGGTGAGGTCTCGGGGCAAAACATTTTTAGTTGACTGGTGTGATTTCCCCCCCCCCCGCCATTTCGCAGCAACATTGACATCAGATATTGGCCGTGCTTTCAATTCTGAATATTCTTCACACATTACCTACGTGAAATTGTTGTGTTGGGGTTTGTAATGCTCATGTTTTGTGAGAGGTGATGCATGCTGGAACTCTGGTGTTTGCTTGAACCGCGAAATGCACGTTGCAGTGAATTTCGAAGTAAGCCACATTTTTTTTTTAACAGAAATGGGCCGAGCGACTGGGATCCTGAGAAACGACAGGACCAGGAGTATGATGGCCCCCCAGGCATGGAGCCAGATGGCATCATCGAGGTGAGAGTTTTGTACTACTGGTACTGCTTGAAGGCTGCATAAAAATGACGCACTTGGCGATAATCATTTTGTTAATGCCTCTCTGCTGGGAAAAGAAAATAAAGCCGTTCAGTCTATTTGGGGCACTTTTGGGGCTCTGTTTACTAAGCTTGATGTTCTTTTTTCTGGCAGAGCAACTGGGAAGAGATCATCGACAACTTCGATGACATGAGCCTTCGTGAAGAGCTCCTGCGTGGAATCTATGCCTATGGTTTTGAGAAGCCATCTGCCATTCAGCAGAGAGCCATCATCCCATGCATCAAAGGTAGGTGTTACAATAGTGGTGACACATGATCATCTACAAATACAAAATAACTGTACGGTGGTCATGTCCTGCGTGGCACCAGCCAGCGGATAGTGTTCCACTGTTGCCGTCACAGCTAAGATCGGTGCTGATTAATCCTCCCAGCCATACATGGGTTGCACGGACATCACATCCAGGAACGAGAAGACCAAAAGTCGTCTTGTGTAAGATTATCTCAAATTGCGGCCTAGAGCTTTGTAGCGGCGAGACGTGTTGTTTGGACGCACCACTGCCTTCACCTCAGCTATATGCGCTTGGGGGGGGGGGGGTGCAGAATGAGAAGTGGAATTGCCGCTTCAAAAGGCTAGGCAAAGCCTTGCGTGACAATATTTAGCTTGCCTGTGATTATAATGAACCAGTGCGCTGGAACAAGAATGTCCGAAAAGCGCCGTAGCTCTTGGCTTGCGTGCACTAATGACACAGTCGCGTCAGCAGTCTTCATTGCATCACAGGTAAAGGTATTTTCAAGGTATGCCCAGGTTTCACACTTATAATTACTGACGTGCTTACGTCGCTTCTCAAGAATGCTGCCTAAATTCAGCGATGTACAAATGAACTTTTTTTCTTGAATATACGTCGCGAGTAGGCACGTTGGCCTAATCGGGCAACGTACACGAATGTGTTCTCTTTCATAGGCAAACACGTGAAATAAATGAGCAAAGCGAATCCTGAATTGGCATCAAGGCCACTGCTGGGCCACGGCTGTTATGACCGGACTAGTGCAGCATCTGTGCATTTTTACTGCTGTAAAAAACTACTGAAGAGAAGCTGAAGGCCATTGTAGTGGGCACGTAGTCTACGGAGCAGGCTGCAAAAGGGGCATTTGTGACTCCCACACGACACCAGCACTTCCTCTGCGATGCAACACGAGTTTGCACCTTTTAAGACACAAGCTTGTCAACGCCAGTGTGTCTGGATAAAAACAGTTTCACAACAGTAATGCGAGAGTGTCGTTAGATATCGACTTTGCTTACGACGACGAGATGCTGCAATATATAAGCTGCTTTGATGCTAAGTTTTCTCTCCTCCACTGTTGAAGTAGCTGTGCTGGCCGTTTTCAGACTTGTAACCCTGATTTGTGACCGCGTGACGTGACTGGTCAAAAGCACCACATAATTCACCATGTCTCCGTGTGTCAGGGCAGGCAGAAGATCGACGCTGGGTGCAGGCATGCTGGCTCATGCCAGCAGCGTGCCAGAGCCGGCCCCGCAAGTAGTTCAGAGTATGACAGTCAAGGCACGTGTAGGTTTCCTTCAAAGGGACCGTAAGCTGCATGTGCAGCCCAAGTCCTTACCGTATTCACTCGGATAATCCTCGCACTTTTTTTCCTGAAAGAATATGGAAGCTGGGGGTGCGACACTTATGCGGGGAAAAGTTTCCGCGGAAAGGTACAGCGCAAGAAAAAAAAAAAAAAGAAAGAAAACGGCCACAAATTGCAGTTTTTCCACCAGCAACTAAAAGCTTCGAAAAGTGCTGATACAAGGCTTACCTTTACAATGAAAATACATGTTCAACCCAAATCAAGTTTATTTGCACAGACTAAAGTCACTAGCTAGTAAGTCTCTTCGGCGAACTACTCGGAGCCAGAGTCAAGACTGCCGTCTACGTCGCTCATAGCAGCATCATCAGACTCATCGCCAGCTTCAGCGTGGTCTCCCTCGTCGTTTTCGTGGACCACGTCGTCTTCCGTCCCGTCCAAGGCGTTGGAGATCCCACCCAGTCTTCTTGAAGCTGCGGACGATAATTTCTGGCGAAATCATGGACCATGCCTCAATTACCCATGAACAAATGATCTCCACCGACGGCTTCTTTATCTTGCCCCGGGAGTGATTGCATGGTCGCCTTCGGCCATCCATTCTGAATACAGCCTCCAAACATTATCCTTGATCAGCTTGTTCAAGGATACGTCTAGAGGCTGCAACATCGAAGTCAGACCGCCTGGAATGACGTGAGGTCAGTCTGCAGCTCCTTCAGCTTCGCCCGAACAAAGTCGACCAGGTGACTGCGGAAGCTGCCGACAACCAGCAGCGACAGGTAAAGAAGTGCTCCATGGCGGCGTCCCGAAACAGTTCTTACCCAGTCTACCATAAGGTCAGCGGTCATCCACCCTTTCTCCTGTACACTCGCGTGTATTGCTGGGGGAAACTTGGCCTTCGGGAAGGTCTTCCGCGTACAAATAATAAATGGGGGCAGCTTCTGCCCGTCCACTGTTACGGCGAGCATGACTGTGCACCTCCGCTTCTCGGCGCCCGTCGTTATATGCACACTCCGCACAACCATCTCCTCCACAGTTGTGCTTGGCGGCATGTCAAAGTTGAGCAGAGTTTGATCAGTTTACAATTTGTGAGAGCAGGAAGTTCTTTTGCTCCCAAATTCTAATCACAAATCGATGAAACTCGATGACCTTATCTTCGTACGCCGAAGGTAGCCGTTGACAAAGAGTCGTCTGTCTCCTGAGCGAGAGTCCACTTTGGCGCATGAACCGTGTGGCCCACCCGTTGCTCGCGCGGAAATCTCGCGCCGGGATGCCTTCCTTCCGGGCAATTATGCGCGCCTGATTTCTCAGCAGCTCGAACGAAACTGCACATCCGTCCGCGCGTAGACTCTTGATGTATTCCAGTAGTGCCGCCTCAACCTGTGGGTATCTTCCAGTCTTAGGCCCTGCAGAAGGCCTTGCATGACTTGTTTGTGGCTTTGAGCTGTTCGTGCTGCCGTCGCCAGTAGCGCACACAGAACTCGTCCACGCCGAAAGTGCCTGCCGGCGGCCCTGTTGTCGTGTTCCAGAGCATAGGTCGGTGACCTTTAGCTTGAAATTAGCTGTATAGCTCCTGTATCGGCTCATCACGTAGCCGCAGAAAGGATGATGCTAGTCACGGATCACTACTGCGCTACCTCAGAACACCGCACTACAGACCACACTACTAACGCTAGTGCCGTGCCACAAGTGCTACTACGCAACTTGTGGCTTGGTTTGGATTGGATTAGAGCTCCGTTCTAGCAAGTTAGTAATTGTTTCTCCTCCCTTTTGAAACGGCAGGCGTATCACGTGCCACAGGAATAAAAGTAAATAAATAACTGGTCTGTTCGTCCACTGGCCAGGCGGCAGTTTCCTTAATGAGCACCAGTTTCCTCAAACTGCTCAAACATGCACACACACACAAGCAAACACCCAATAGTTCGGTGTAAGTCGAGCCAAGGCAAGCCGTGTTTCGCACCTGCTCTATAGAGGAACGAAAAACATGACCTGCTTTATTCACGTGGTTTAAACTTGTGCGCGGGGTTTAAGAAGAGGAGGGTGTGTGGGGCGTTTCCCTGGCCTGTGTGTTTTCAGCCCCTCTGTTAAGCTGGTCCCAGCATAGCAGGAGACTCTTCGTAAAATTTACCCGGTTGCAATGGGTTTCATCAGCATGCATGATGCATAAGAGATGGCGCTAGGCTAATGGGTGCTATCATCATTGGCTCAAAGTAGCAGACATCTACTGCTGCGATTTTTTGTGGTGCGATAATTACGCGAGGAAAGAAAATCGCATTTTTGTTGGCCGATGTTAGCGGTGCGAGAATTATGCGAGTGTGAGGATTATGCGAGTAAATACGGTATTCATAAATGTGACAATCGCTCGCTTTGCAAGCCGGGAATGTCACGCGCAAACCATGTATTATGTACAGGTATTCCTGAAAGTGGTCAAGATTACTGTTGTCATAGCATAATTAGTAGAGCATCAAACATGCCAGTTATTTGCAGGTTTGGTCCCTTCTGGTGGCAAGTTATCTTTTAGTCCACTTTGATATCTTCACATTTACATAATAATTACTTCAAACAACAGTTCATGTGTCACTTCACAGATGGAAACACTTGCATGGCAATTTTCTTACATTTTTTTAGTTGTGCTCAGAAAATGGCAGCCATTAGAGGCGATGCATGCGTTACTTGTTTGTTTCGTCGAAATGCAGCCTTTGGTCATTGTCCAGCTTCCACAGCTCACTTCTATTCTGGAAGCAAGAGAAATAGTGATTATGGTATTAGAGTTAGTTCATCAGACTAGGAAGACTGCTCATGGGACAGTGCATGTTAATGGAGGGAAGATATTCTTATCAAGTCTCTTAGTTCTCATGTCTGGCTATCCCCTAAGGCATTCCATATACAGTAGACTCGCGATAATTCAAACTCTGATAATTCGAACTTTCGGTTAATTCATACAAAATTCAAAATTTTGGTTGGCTCGCTATGCTTTCAATGTATTTAAAAGCCGCTTAATTCAAACTTCGTCATTCGGTTAATTCGTACTTTCTGCCTGTCCATACCGGAAAATTTCTGCTGATTTGCCGGCAATATTTGAAAATTTGCGTGCTTATGATTATCATAATAGTCTGATATTGAAAAATAAGCGCCTTAAAACTTCAAGGGAAAAGGTTTTGCCACACAATCATTTCTCAGCATTCCGCGCCGCGGTGGAAAAAAAAAACGAAAAACAAAAACGGCCCGGTGGTTACGAAGCTGGCTCGCGGCTTATCTCTGCTTTTCCGGCGTGCCGGTGGCGCCGGCCGACTCCGAAGCACGTGACCTGCCCACAGAATGCGTACAGGTCTGCCCGTCTTTCTTACGTGCTGCGCATTTTTCGATCGACCATGTCACCGCGAGGAAAATATCGGACACTACCCCTAAAAGAGAAATTGGCCGCTATCCAAGAAGTCGACGCTGGGGTAAAGAAGACCGAAGTGGCACTGAAGTATGGAATAACCAAAAGTACTCTCACAACCATTCTGAAAGCCAAAGACAAGCTGCAGAATAACGCGAGCCGCTTCGCTCCCGATCGGAAAAGGCTTAGGGAAGCTGCGTACCCGGATCTCGAAAACGCCGTGCTTCTTCGGCTCAAGCGCGCACGGAGCTCCAATTTACCGATAAATGGGCCAATCCTACGAGAGAAAGCTGAAGAACTTTCCTTGCGCTTGGGAATTGAAGA